TTGGAATTGCCCCCCTCCCCCCCCCCCCCAAAAAAAAAAAAAAAACTAAAAAAAAAACTGGAAGGAAGTCCCTTCAGAATAATGTAATTTAGAAATGTACTGCACCTTGGTCTTTCCCACTTTGTTCCATATCTCACTGCCTGCAAACTTTGAGATCTTCTTCAGCAGTTCTTGAATCTCTGGATCCTTGGCGCAGCCTCCCAGGCTCATATATTTCTTCAGATACTCCAACCTGAATAAAAAGGCATAGACCACATAGACCACTAAATCATATCCTTAAGTTTCTTCTCTTTCATTTTCAGTATTCACCGGAGACCAGAAAGCAAATATGCACCTTAGGATTCATGATTTTATCAATATTTAATAAATTAGCATATTCTAAAGAATACAAATTAAATACCATTGGCCATGACTTTAAAAACTTAATGAAAAACTTATATTAAGAATTTTATAAATTATGAGTCTTTAATATCATAAGATAAGAATCTTAACCAATATTTCTTATGGATTTCATTTCTTTGAAGGTACTAAAATGTACACCTAATAACATTAAATAAAAATTTCAATAACCAAACTTCTAATAATCAATAAATAACTCATCATGCTCTACTCAAACCACTTGGCCTGCTCAATTAACTTTTTAACAATCTATCTTAAAAACATGAAAATAACAATTAATCAACTGGTCAAAATAGACTTGTGTTCCTTCATACCATTTGACTGTGTTGTCTTCAGCCAAAGAGTTATTTTCTAGAATTTCTTCAAGAGAACGTAGCTTTCTGTTCACTGCTCCACGGAGTTTACCCTGGTACTCTTCATACAGAGACACAGGCGTGACCTGAACTGCTTTCAGCCTATTTCTGAAGTTATTAAGTCTCTCTCTGCAAGGCAATTGTACAAGAGAAAGAATTAAAAAAAAACTTTTGTCAGAAAAATCAGATAAAGTAGACGAGGTTTTTGGCACTGAATTTACGTGAGCTAATCACAGAAACTATCATTCAGCATGAAAAATAAAACTACATCTATGTCTATGTCTAATACAAAAAAAAAAAATATATATATATATAAAGGGCAGTTCGTTCCTGCTATATTAAAACATAACAGAATATATTCAAATATATTACAAATTTCAACTAATATATATATATATATATATATATATATATATATATATATATATATATATATACTGTGGGTATGTCTGATCTTCAGAGATCATGCAACTTATGAGAAATACTTTTTAGTTTTTTATGTACAACTGCACATTTACTAACAACCTCAGGTGGCCTAAAATGTAATGGTTTGAATCTCTTTAGCACATTTCATTCACAAAATCAGTACAATTAGTTTTATAAAGAATACAATGCTAAAATTGGCAAAATGGCTTCAAAATAATATCTGCATCATAAATTTGTTTTCTTGCCTCACCTTTCAATTTTTTCAACTTTGCTTTTGCAATTTTCATACAGTTCATTCCGAAGTTCAACCAACTGCCCAAAGTGGGTCTCCATTAATTTCTCTACTTTCATGTCTTTGGAATCTTTCCCTTCTTGTTCTCCTTCTTCTTTATGTAGTAAACTAGAAGTTAGAAACCAGCAATTTCAAAACTGGGGTTCTTTTTCTAAAAAAATGGACCTTTCACCATGCAACTATCATGTACCTAGATCAAATTTTACCCAGAAGGGCCCTTTTCCCAGCAAAAAGGGCAGTTCGTTCCTGCTATATTAAAACATAACAGAATATATTCAAATATATTACAAATTTCAACTAATATAGCTTGGCATTGATGAGGTTAATGTCACCAAAGTACAGTATATTCAACAAGTCTTTTGTAAAAAATAATCTCATAAAGGTTTTTTTTTAACTGTGCACACATGATTTTATCAATATTTAATAATAATTTAATGAGCACAGAAAAGTTTTTACATCTAAAGAGTCTCTAAGTCTCTCTCTCTCTCTCTCTCTCTCTCTCTCTATATATATATATAGGATAATAGTAATGACAGTAAATAAATGAAAAAATAAATATAGTATTATACGTTATAAAGAGATAATTAATTAATATATATTATAATGAATAAAATTTCATTAATGTTACTGATATAAATTCATCACTTACATGATGCCTATGTTGCTAAAAATTGCATGTTGCATATGTAAACCTACCTTTTCCAGTATTTATCTGACAGATTTGGTTGTTGCCACAGTGGAGTGTGACTCTTCAGCAATTTGACTGCAGTTTGAAAGCTCTCTGCCACTACACCATGTCTCCTTGAAATGAGAAAGTAAAGAGAATAATCTTATATAAATATAAAAATAGTTGAAAAAAAAAAATTGAAAAGGTCCATTACATGTTTTATCCACTTGGTACCCGCATAGAACTGCTGTGCATGTAATCAAAGCACATTCTGACTGAAGTTTCTACAAAAGAATATGATCTATCATTTATGTTAATTATTATATACATTTGATTATCTTAAACTACTGTAAACTATTATATATGTAACTGCTAAATGCATTTGTGCACCCACTGCCAGCAATGCTGTGGTTTTACAAAACATTAAAATAAACATTTTACTCTCAAGCAGTTCTTTGTAAACAATAACCTACCTGTGCATAATGGAAGGCCTAAACTTATTTATTAAGCCTTTGAGATGACATTTTGTAAATTCCTTTTCCTTGGGGTCCACTTGCAAAAAATCATCCCAAGTTTCAAATTTTGGCTGTGTTGGAAGCAAGGGATGATTTTTACCCCCAGCGAATGTATTCAGAAACCGTCTGGATAGAAAAATGTTATGGAAATGAAAAATCCTAAATAAAAATATCTTTAACAAAATTGTATTAGTATACATGTATGCAAAGCACACAGAAGTTTTTTTCAGAAATGGAACTAGATAAACAATATTCAAAGATAAATATGGAAACTCTACAGACATCTTAAAATACTCTAAAAGATAAAGTCTACAGTCTATTGATAAAATACATACTTTTTCAACAGAGTTGACCCTGCTGCAGAGGAGCGCCGTAAATGTGAACTTCTTCGGACCTGAGAAGGATTTTGATTTAATTCTGCAATAGTGGACAAATCTTTCAGCTTTCCTCCAGACATCAAAGAACTTTGGTGTCTTGATTCAGGAGACCTCCCTGGACTGACACAAGTTAAATTGCTAAAAGGGAGATTTCTGGAAAGGTGTAAATTGGATATGTTACATTATAATATCTAAAACAAAAAACATAAAATCGATGTTTGTATATAAAAATGGTAACATGGTTTTCATTTAGAAAGATAATTTAACAAAAGCTTTACCCTGTTGTACATGGTTGGTTTCCACTTTCTTCAAAAGGATCTTTTTTCAACTGTTTCAGAGTTTCCTGACTGAGGGGAACCTAAACAATTATTAGTATATTAATGAGTGCCATTAATGATTGGATCAATTAATGAACAGATGGTAACTAGATGGTAAAAGTTTACAGCAATTTGACTTCTGGATCAGATGAATACCTGAGCAGGATGTTATTTTATTTTATTTTCATGGTCATCATGATATTTTAATAATTCCACTTACTTTACTTTTCAAATGTTTTGTCCTCATGTTGGTCATGGAACAAAGCAGCATGTATATGACCTTCAGCTCTTCCACAAAGTACTGCTTCTTTCTTTCATCCATGCGTCTGAAATTGGTGGATTATGGATAATCAGAAATGAGTGAATTTTGTTAGTCATCCAGTAGAATAAAAATGATAAATATAAATAAGAGATCAGGTACCCAGTCCATCCAGGTCATTTACCGAGTGAAAGGTTTCAGGTTGAGACAGCAATGTTAGTCAGTTGCTAATTGTAAGTTCCAGTATCAGAGTTATTCATATGTATCATATGAATAATCAGAGTTACATATGCAAAAGATAAAACTTAGTTCCAACATAATTATCTGTAAAATATTTCTTTTTATTTTACATGACATAAAATTTATATACACATTTTATATTTAATTGCATTAACATGCTTTAATACACAACGTGAAAGGGCACATCATATATATAATGGAAATTACAAGACATCAGTATGATTAGGCCAAGCCAGAAATTTATCAATACCTTTCATTATCTGTTTTCATTCTATCGGAAACTCTAAGAAGGAAAGCATTAGCCATGAGAGGTTTCCGAACTAAAATGCTACGTAGTTTGCTTGTTTCTGTCTGTGATAAACTAAGCATAGTATTTTTATCATCTTTGCCACATTTTGCCTTGTGCTTTGAAATTGCCTGTTAGAAAAATCATAGAAATAAAATAAAAGTTGAGAAACAGAAACTTTTTGTAAATACAGTATTGGAGAATTAGCGTTCAACGAAAAGGTAAAAAATTAAGAAAGACACCAAATATGTAAGAAAGAGAACAAAAAATTTTACACGAAAAAAGGTGCATATAAAAGGGAATTATATCTAAGAGTAAAACATAAATAATATCAGTAGTGGCATTTCATGACAATCTTCCCAATACCCTCCCCATGTCCCATAATCATTGCAAACACAGTGTACATAAGGAGGCTGACCCAAGCTTTGCCATTACCTGCATTTTAGCTGAAAATTGTTCATAGCCCTGCCCACACCGTACAGCCTTGACACGCTGCTTGGACTCTTTCAACTTGTTGTGCAGTTCTCCAAATCCGACATGATTTTCGATTTTTTTCTGAATCTGAAATGTTTTCTTTTTAGCACTTTCCTTTCCCTGTAAAGTACAAATAACACACTTTCAATAAATTAGCCGAAGAATGGCATACTAAAAAAATGAAATGAATCGTGTCACTTAGTACTCATGTTCTCATATATTTTTGGAGATTTTGTTTTTTTTCAAAAATGTTCTCAGAGTGAACAGTTGTGTTGTTACTGTCAAAGTCCTCAGATTCAGAACCACATAAACTTTACAAAAATATATATCTACATGTAGTAGTCTAGTTTTATTACCTGAATTTTTTCTCGATTGACTTTCTGCACGCCATGTTTTTCTTCATGAGAATGTGTCCTTTTATTTTCTGTCTAAAACGGATGTGAAATAAAATAAGAAACTGTGGCAACTCATTTTTTCACCACTCACAAGCTGTACTAGTACGTACCTGGGTTGGATAGGATCCAATTTTTTATAAAAAAAAAAAAAAACATAATTCACAATAAATAGCTGTTCAATCTATCATTTCTAAAGAAATTTAAAAAAAAAAAAAAAAAAACAAATAAATAAAAATGGACATTTTCTCTCTAGTTATCATGGATTTCAATAAGTTGAAAGATTTTGATAAAATTTGGTCATTTCATTCATTATTAAAAAAATAAATCTTTGCAAGAATGAATTAATTTAAAGATACCTGAGATGTGACAACTACAGGCGGAATAGACCCAAACTTTTTTAACTCCTCACACACCAAGTCCTTGTAATGTGCAGCACTGTCCCCTCCCACAGGAGCATATGGCTGGTGACAGGGTGTGAAAAATCCTTTAGAGAAATTTTCCTTGTGTCTGCTGTATCGTTGGGTGATGTGGTTAGAGTCCTTTTCAGTATTATAAATATGACTGGTCCTTCTGGTTACTTTTGTCGGGATGTATACTTTTTCTGCAGATCAAAATTATATAAGTCTGCAAACTGACAACATTTATAAACATTGCGACAATTTTTCTTTTATGCTGAAAGAAAGCGGATTTACATAAATTTATTCAGGGTACTAGTAAGCTGCCAAATCATCAACCAATAGAAAATAATCTTGTTTTGATATCATAATTCCATGTTAAAGTAAATAAGTAATATAATGTATCTACCTGGGGGTACCTGGTGCACTCTTCTTATAACTTTACAAAACTCCTCTGCTGCATGGGTGTCCCCTTCTTTTCCATGATGCTTGCCTCCAGCAAACATCTTTAAATTCAGAAAGTGACAGCTTAAGTCATGGAATTTACTATTTTTTCTTTAAAAGGAATATTATTAAAGAAGATTAACTTTAAGGAAATGACACTGGTATTCTAAGCAGAAAAGCCAACTCTGTGCATTGATGTAATCTTAACACACATTAATATGTTAATACAGTAGCAGATCCATACATAAAAAATGATGTGAAACTACATTCACTTTAACAGTTGACTCTTATTTTCATAAACATCATAATTTTAATTAAAATAATTTTTCACTTGAGCACATTTTCACTGCGTATCCTCTCTTATGCTAGCATATGCTAAAATTTATTGCTTTCGTTTTTAATATTAATGTTCTACTTTAATATTATCCCTCCCTAATTTCATATGTGAGGCAATTACATTACATGTTTCCAAGTGTTCTAATGAATTAAGTGTACATAACTGCAAGTATCCCCAAATATCCCCCTGTTCATGTACCCAGTTATACCAAGGAGTTATACGGATTGATAGGTTTGACACTGTCCATACCCCAGAAATACAGCAGTGCCATACTTTATGGAAAGATAAAAATTAAATCAACAATAATTGGGATGGTTTTGCTGCTATTTCATGTACTTTGAAAGTATATAGCAGTTATACATACTTATACCAGCTAGTAAGCTACAGATTGGTCATGACAAAAAGAGATTTGAGAAAATGCAAATTTTGCTTATATCCACTGGGTACAGGTTGACGTTGGCTTTGTCTAAGTATTTGGCGTTATATGCTTGGTACTCACCGCAGGTAAGCATGTAAGACCAAAAAATGAGGCAAATTTTGCTTAACTTACTAAGCCGCTCCACAAACCAATATTACGGAGTACGTTCTCGTTGTGGAAATATGTACCTATATTAATATTAATATTAGTATTATTATACAATACCTATCGCAACTAATTTTTTTAAGTGCTGTTAGCAATAATTCTCTTACCTTTCAATGCTTCTTTGTTTTAAAATCAAATTTTGCTAAAGAAAAAAATAAATATTATCCGTAAAACAAACACAAGACCATGCTTCTTCCTTTACGTTTCCATAGTAATCACATGATTGTCACATGATAACAATCACCTCCCGTCACAATCGACGTTATTAGCGTGTACGTTTTTGCAAAATTGCTTCTTCTCAACAAACGCATTTACAGCATTGCCGATAAATCAGCGGTGCAAACAATCGCTTAAATTGCGCAATTTGATAACTAATTATTGTATCACAGATTGCCTGGTGTTGACTATTGTTTAATTATTGAAGGGTCAACAAGACAGAAAGGCCTGCAAAATTCAAGGCAATTTTTTAAATAGCTTGGTGGGGGTTTTTTCGGGCTAATGGGACAATTTTGGCTGGTGAAAACCTTGAAAATCGTTTTAAAATTTGACCACTGCCTCGATACATGTACATTGTTCACATGCAGATACTGATCCTTAAAAAAAAAAAAAAAAAAAAAAAAAAATCACAGAAATCGGCCAAAAGAATGAAAGTCCTGATTCGTCAATGGAAAAACATGTTCTTTTATTATGGCTAGTTTAGAGCTACAGTATATTTACACTGTACGCCGATTACCGTACAAACAAAATGTTTTATAGATTTCAAGAAAAAAATGATTTTTTTTTTCAAAATAAATATTTTATTTAAAATTTCACATCCCAACACCAATTTGACACTTCATGTTCACTGAAGCTTATATTTTTCAATCTCAGCTATTCTAATAAAGAATTATAACAGTGGAAAGTCTATTTTGCTAATAACAACAATATATGACACTCCATAATATCAGAAATGACTTATATAGACAAAAGAGGAAATAAATATGATAAATGGCAAGATAAAACATACAATATAAGCTAGTCTTGTTCTCATCTCAGTAATTAACAAGGCAATGGCAATGAAAGTTAATTGTTTTTGATTTCACACATATTTTCATCAGAAAAATTATCACCAAAACTGTCATGGCCATAGTTTGCAAATGAACTGCAAATTACTGGTATCATAATCTGAGCTTGTTACAGTATTTGAATATTATGTGTACATTTTCTCAAGCTGTACATGTGAGGTTACAATAATGAAAATCATATAAACAACAGTGTTTACAACGAACTGGCAATCAGATGAAAAACAAGATACATGAATGTCTAATTATACAATGTAAAGTAATATCATAATTAATACCAGTGTTAAGGTATTATTTCAAACATGGAATGCATTGTGAAGACAAATCAGTATAATACATGCTCTGTAATAACGCATTATTCTCACAATGCCATCATCAACAATAAAGAGACTGTAGTCATAACACAAGAAAAAAGTCTGGTTTACAGAAAATCCTTTTTAATCTAGTCATAGCTAGGATGACACTTGGCTACAATTCCATCTTATCATTTAAAACAATCTATAGGCTTAACACTAAAATATTATTTAATGATTAACTGCCATAGAATTTCAGAAGATAAGAGATATCTTTAAATTAATAGTATAGTTCACAGATCATACACATATCACACATATTGCACTGAAAAAGTTATTTTTCAATCAAGAGTATTGACAAAACTAATCTGATAGAAAATTTACTAATAAATAAATATAACAGAATTACATATCATGCAAGCAGAAATTCCCAAATATAATGCAAACTTCACAGCCCCTGAGATAAAATTACAATAATATTTTGACCCATTCTTCAAATTGCAAAATGGCACAAAAACTGGAATGTTAAAAGTGCAACAAGTCATCCAAATATTATCAAGATCACACAAAAAAGTAGGAATGCAAGCTCTGGAAAGAATGGCAGTAAATTTGGCTCAATGGAAGAAGACTCCACACTTTATATATGTATAAATTTATGTAAAAGCAGCAGATGGCAATAAAATGGCAAAAGAATGATAAAGGGGTAACAGTTCACTGGAAAAAAATATTTTTTTAATCTTTGAAAATTTAAATTTTAAAAATACTTAAAAGAATTTAATGCTGTTACATTAGCATCTTTTCCTGTAAAAGAGTCATCTTTCACCTGTCACTATCACTTCCAGGTGAGCTTAAATCAGGGCAAGGAGGGCAAGTATCCGATGGCAATACAATGCTACTGTGGTCCTGTGATGGACTTCTTGGCTCAAGAGACGTGGCTGGACTGGCTCTTGCTGTAGCATTGGCATCACAATCAACATTATCATTATGCATATTTTGGAGAGCAAGAGGATCAGAACCAGAACCAGGAAGTCCCTCCCTCTCCCCGGGACTTGAGGGCATCAATTCTGGCATTTCAGTCAGTTCCTGATTGGACCCTGTGAAATCTGAATCAGAGACCCCAAATTCAGCTGGAACATCACCATGAAGAAGATGGAAATTTTCAATAGGAGTTTCTGGTGGTAGGCAGTTACTTGTTTTCCAATGCGTTTTCAGGCCACTAGCACTGATGTATTTTCTATTACATTTGGGGCATTCATAGGGGCGCTCATTTGTATGCAACCTTTTGTGGAGTTTTAAATGGACAAACTGAGTGAATTTTGCAGGGCAGAGTTTGCACTGAAAAGGTTTCTCACCACTATGGAGTCTCATGTGAGTTTTCAAATTACTGGTGCTACTGAAACGTTTTTTACAGACAGTACACTCATGTGGTTTTTCTCCTGTGTGGACAAGATAGTGCTTTTGAAGATGAGCAAGTTGGGTGAAACCTTTACTGCAAGTCTTACACACAAAAGGGCGTTCACCAGTGTGAGTACGTAAATGCACTTTTAGATTGGAAAGCTGACCAAAAGTTTTGGAGCACACATTACATTCATAGTGCATTTTTCCATCTTTCTTTTTCAGTGGAAATGGCAAGGAACGATAACCCCTCATGTTGTTTGCATTCAAGCTATTCAGCTGAAGGTCCATCTTTGGCTTGCTGAGGTTCAGAGCTTGGTCATGATGGGGGTGACTGGTCGTTGGGCTAACTTGCTGTATATTTTGGCTCAGGTAAGCATTTTGCATGGCTTGATAAGCAGGGTACAAATGATGCCAAGGCAAAGCTGCTGCATATTGATTCATAGGTAACATTCCGTTCATTGAATACAAATGGGCAAAGCCTGGGTGTTGGTAGAAAGGATAGAGTGGGCTACTGGCTGTAAGGCCAAATGGATGAAAGGGCGTGGGTGGGACTTTCCCCAGTAATCCTGGTCTCAGATCCGGTTTTAGATAACCTGGGAAGTCTAATTTTGGTGGGCCATGGGGAAAACTGGCAGGAGCATTGGGCAATGGTGGCAATAATTTGGCAGGCATTGGTGTTGAGCAATTTGGCAAATTTGGATGACTTGGTTCTGGTTTGATAGGCATCACGCCGTCTTTCCTCTCCTTTTTAATATCCTTTGTCATTGCTACAGTTTCTCCATCTTTTTCTTTTTCCTCATTTTTGATTTTCAATGCATCTAAGGACTGTTCATCCACTGTTTCTCCACTTTCTTTCATCTTCTTGATTAATAAATTCTCAATCATGACAGCACCTGGGCGTTTACTGGGTATCTTGTATCCATTTTTTGTGGGGAATCTTTCAAATGCACTGTCACTTTCATCTTGACTTTTTTCCGACCCTGGACTGCTGCATGGAAAGGGATCATGTTTGGGTAGTGGACTGGGGCATTGTTTTTTTAACATGTCGAATACCTCTTCCTTTTCTGGACTCTGTTTGGGCTGGACCTTTGGACCAACAGAACTGGGAACTGTCTGGGCAGTTGGCGCTGGATTTTGTTCTTCTTGTTCTTTCTCTGAAGTTGTCTCTAAATGATGTATTTTGGGCATTTTCTTTAGACTGAAGTCTATGACACCATTTGGATCCTTTTCGAGTCTTGTCTGGCTGGTTCTGCTG